TGGTTATGAAAGTCCCTTTCTTATGATGTCACTACTTATTCCTGGAGAATCACAACAGGGATGATATTGATGTCTACATGAGACCTCTGGTGGATGAGTTTGAATGAGTTGTGGAAAATGGTGCATTATCTTCAGATGCCGTAATGGTGAGTCTTTCCAGATGCGTGCAGCTTTGATGTGGACTATACAGTTGGCCGCATTTGTGACATATCTGGGTGGAGAACAAAGGGTCATTATTCTTGTTACACTTGCAATGATGAACCATATTTTCAATCCTTGAAAGTAAGACTGCATACACTAACCATCGATGCTACTTGCCGCAAACCACCTGAAAGGCGAAGAGTAAGCTTACAATGGTAAGCATGAGAAGCGAAAGAGATCTTTAAAGTTACTAGTGAAAAGATATTAGAGGATTGGACAGAGTGATAGGTGTCACATTGGAAACATCAAAAATAAGAAAGACTCCATCAGGCCAAATTCGACAAAGGTAAGCATCTTGTATGAGTTTACCATACTGGAAGAACGGAATCTTCGACACAACATTGATGTTATGCATGTCGAGAAGAATTTTAATGAAAATACCTTTGAACTATGTTAGGCATTGAAGGAAAGAAAAAGACACACGACAAGCACGATGGACTTGGAGATATTGGGTATAAGGAAAGAGTTGTGGTTAACACGTCGTCCTGATGGCTTATGTCAACTAGGGCATCTTTCATTGACCCTGAAGAGGGAGGGTTTCTTTGAATTCTTGAAAATCAGTGAAGTATCCGGATGGCTATGCTGCAAACATAATAGATTAGTGAATGAGAAATGGTAAATTAACAGGCTTGAAAAGTCGTGACTGCCATGTACTCAATACAACGGATTCTTCCAATTGGGATGCGTGTTAGTAGACAAAGAGATTAGTAAAACACTATTTGAGTTAGGTAGCTTTTCCAGGATTTGTGCTCAAGGACACTGGCGTAATGATTGCGAAATTAGAGGAAGTCTGTACACATATTTGCAAGCTTGAAAAGATCTTTCTCAGCATTCTTAATGTGATGGTTCACTTGGCCGTTCACTTGCGCGTGAGGCTATTCTTGAGAACCGGTGCATATGATGGATTACAGATTGTAAAGAGTGCATTACTTTTTGTTCAATGTATGTTGATGGGATAACAAGTGCATAATCGACCAACGAAATCAAGATCGTGGCGAACGTCGCAAAGGGTTAACTGTATTCACAGAAACTGCCGTCCTATTGGCTATCAAGGGATACTGTATGTCACAAGAATATCGTGATATGGCTCATTGGTTCTTGTTGAACAATAGCCCCGAGATAGAGAAGTATCTAGAGTATAGTTTTTCATTTAATATGTGTATTCTTAGCTTTGTTAATGTAGTTACAGTGCATAATAATCACATTCTTTGGAGTAGGATACACAAAAATCTATTACGGACTCCATCTGACCAAGGCATAAACCCGTATATAGCACAAGAGTTTCCAAGTGGTTAAGAGCGGGTAAGCATTTTCAATTTTAAGCATGATTAAAATTTGTATAGATTTGATCATTTTATTCATTTTTACTATTATTATGTACGTTATATGTGATGTAGATAATAATTGAGAGAAGAAAAGTCACCAGAAGCAACAATGATTTATGTTGTTAGCAAATGGCCAATTTGCTAGTAAAAGAGTACTTAGGTTGCACAATCAATGGCGTACGTTTTGTACAGAGAAGTAGACAACGCCGTAAGAGTCAGAATAGTGGTGTGCTTACGGAAGGGTCATGAGGGAGTGACGCATGAATTTTATGGTCACTTGTGCAATGTTTGGAATGGAGTACATGTGTCATAACAAAGTTCTATTGTTCAGTGTGAATGGCAACACACGGAACACAGGTCG